TTATTAGTGCTACTCATCTGTTCATAAATAGGCCACAAGTCATGTCATCTAAGCATCAAGAGGCACTGTTTTGTCCACGTGTTTAGTGCACTGTGTAACTTCTCATAGCAAATGAGTAAGATTCAACACCCAAGCCAAACTGCATTTATGCAATCCACTTAGCCAAAATATTAAAATAATTGCTTCTTCATACTACAGTACTATTGTCACGATTTTGTACTGCATAGATACTATAGGGTTCCTGGCATAAAATTCTGTTGTAACTTCATATAAAATTATGAATCTTTAGATGCTCTCCGGTTTAAATAGGACAAGACGACATGTATTGATTGTCCATACTACAAACAGAGAAGGGCTGAGAAATGGGGTTAAACACCATAATGCCCCTTTTATTGCCTAAAGTTAACAAGATTATAAAAATGGAAGCCAAATCATCAAACACGCCTAATCCCAAGCCTCTTTTGCTACTGCAGTCATACTAGTAACCCACAGTAAAGAAAGGGACTGGTGGCTGCGACCTGAACAGAGGATTACAGAGACAATATACAGACTGCATGTACACCCAGATACTCTTCTCTCCTCAAACAACAAATTAAGAAATCCAATACCTGCTGTTAGAGTCCAGTATCTTTAAGGCATCAATATCACTTAAATGAAATACAAATATGAGCAAGAAAAGTGATGCAAGATGCCTATGCTCCTTAACCTTCAAAAACAGTCATGTATCCAGAGTCAAACTTGATTTCAGTTAGCTAGCAGAAGCAATTTTGTATTTCTATGGTATTAGTAAACATAAGTAACTATAATTTGTAAATCTCCATCCAGCGTAAGATCTCTACATATGAAGAAAACAGTTAAGAAACGATGACCTTTCCTTATGAGATTGAACACCCTTCTTTGATTCCCCCTAGCTTTTAAACAGTCCTAACTTCAGGGGGCTTCTTGCATTTGTAAAACAAAACACTGTCAGTCATTCTTAAATGAAATTCCATTACATTAATAACCGGACTGCCACACATACCAAAAAAAAAAAATAAAAATAAAACATGGTGCATTTAAAATATTCTCTTGTCTATCAAAGGCAAGAAAAATAACCTAAACCCCATTTTTCACCTTGGGACATTTGTTTCAGTACCATTAAAATGACAGATTTTGTATTGACAGGAAGGCTGCTATTCACTACGTAGAGCTGTAGTTCCAATGTTTTTGTTTAATTTCAACCAACTTGTCCAAGTAGGCCATTTGGTAGAAACCTATAAATGGCACCCAGGGGGTCTGGGTTCTTGCTGTAAAGAGGTCAGCTATTTCCTCCTAACTAAAAATAGGCAAGAAGAGGGAGGGGAAGAGGGAATGGAGTTTAATTTAGCAGCTGAAAAAGAGTTTACAAAATTACTTCCATCTTGCCTCATAATGAAGATTATGAAAAAAAGTATCTGCCCTCAAGAGTTACAAAACCTTGATCGTTTTATAGGCAGGGTGGTGGACACAATATAAAACAATACTAGGAATTAAAAGAGTGATAGTAAAGAGGATCCAGGGTAGGGATCGCACATTGTGAAGGCAAAGGGATGCCTGCACCCTCCTTGCAAAAAGCACCTCCATTTATCGGCAGCAGTGCTGCCAGGTGTTAACAACTCTACTCTCCCCTACCAGCTGAGGTCACACTGTTGTCCTGCAGATAAGGCACTACAATCAGCTGCTGTTCCCCTGAGTCAGTTTTTTCCACCATTTACCCTCCTGGCTTTTTGTCTCCCTCACTTACTCACATTACAACCTTTTCAGGGCAAGAACGGTCATCTACAATATCCCCAAAATGGCCCTGATGTGAACGGGGGCCCCTTGGAACTACTAAAATATAAACAGCATCGGTTCGGTATCGACTACAGCACGAATTCTAACGCTGGACTCATAACAGCAGCCAACAGAAAACAAGAGCTAATGGCACCGAAGCACGCACCCATGCGCTGCCCACGGCCATCGCCAGGCCAGAGCCCTGGGATGGGCTTTCCAGCCTCGTCTCTCCGAGGAACCGCATTCAGCACATCGCTAAATCCGAGGCGTATCGCCCTGCTGACATAGCCACCGAGAAACAAGATCCCATCTGGGCTGACGGACCTTCTCCTCGGCTCCTCCCAAGCTGAGGGATGAAGGCCATGAGTGACCGCCGCTGCCGGAGCGGTCTCCGTTCGGGAAGCTCTTCCAGGATCCACGGCACATGAGACGCATCAAGTGGACAACAGGTCCACTTCTGGCCCCGCCACCACGGAAATGGGAAAAGCCCATCTGTAAATCAATGACAGGACCAAAACTGGGCAAACTGGTGGAGAAGCAGCCTGACAATTCCAGTAACAGACAACGTCCCCCTTCCCTAAGGAGGACTTCATTTATTTGTGCTCTTTCGATACTCTGATTGTGGAGGATACTCGCCACTCGCTGGAAAGAAGAAGAGCAAGTAGCGTAACTCACAGCAGTGACATGGCAGAGGACATTGGAGTTACCTGACTTAATCGGGTGGAGGAAGGGCAGAGGATGTATTCATATGACAACTTATCTGCAGAGGGTTTTTGTTTTGTCCTGCAAGACTTGGACAGTTGTGTAGTTGCCAGTGTTTACATGCATGTGTAACTTTTCATCCTCTGCTTCTGAAACACACTTTTTCATCTTAGGGGAAGAAAAAACAACCTTGGTTGTTGCTTAGCTCACTGAAGGTGTTAAACTGAGGCAACTACAGCAGCTCTGCTCAAACCTCCACCGTTTTAACCATTATTGCATGTAGCCCAAGAAAGGTTTAACGTATTTTTGATGTGATAGCATCCTCCCCCTCTCGTTTTCCTTTTTCCTCCCACCCCTCTACAAACCTTCTGTGGGAAAGCTTCCCTTTTTTACTATCACTGCCGTTGAGATGTTGCAATTATTATCTGTAATTGTTTAAAAAAAAAAAAACAACCCAGAAAACAATCAAAAAACCACAAACCAGTGCCGAAACACACTAGGACAATCCTGTTCTCTTGCCAACAAGATCTGCCATCATGGAAAGAATACATTAACTTCAAACCCTGCCCAGTGTCTCTGTGTGTGACAGGACACTAACTATTGGACAGGAACAGGCCTAAATCCAGCATGTGCAGCCACATGGTAAGCGAGGTATATAAAGTCTTGTGCACGCCACACGAGCAGTCTCAGTTAAAAGGTGGCTAATAAATGGGCTAAGGAAGAAGGATATGACATTATATTTGTCACCAGTAAAGACCTTGTATTTATTACCTACAATCAGATTTCCCTCTGGCACAATATATTTGTTTTCATACTATTAGCCTAAAACACCAGTCTTGAAATTTTAATTTTACACTCCATTTTATTCAAATCATCACTTGAGAAGCGCTCTTTTCAATGAAGCATTTCAGGTTTCTGCAACATTGTGCTGCAATATTTTCCTTTTCCAAGAAACACTCAATGAGCTCCACCAAACAGACCGCCTCCCCTCCCCCACCAACACACACACATCTACACTTTAAGACTTGTGCGTCAAGAAAGGAAAAACGTCGTACAAATCCTTGTGGAGAACAGCAAGAGACATGTTAAGACAACATAAAGGAAAACCTTTATTCAGTCTAAACACCGACTTTGAGAAATTAATATGCAAGCCTAACTTTTAGGGTGTGGCTTTGTGTTTTTTCCCCTTTCTGTGCTGTGCAGGATGTCTACCCGAGAACCCAACAACATATAATTAAATAGGTCAAGGGTCATTCGCTTTACATCACACCACGCCAATATTTAACCGCGCACCGAACCGAAATATCAGCCCAACCGCTGCGATTAAACCAGCGCCACAAAATGGGGAACAGGCTCAGAGAGATGACAGCAGCTGAGGGGGGGAAAAAAAAAAGGTGTCCCCCAGCTTCCCGCCCGGCGGGCGGCTGCACACCCACCACCCCGCTCCCCCCTTCCCACCCCCCCCCGGACCCCCACCCACCCACCCACCCACCCACCCACCCACCCCCGCAGAAGCCGCACCGGCGCCGGGCTCCCCGGCCCGGGACACAGCACCGCCGTGCAACAGGTCTGCAACCCCGCTCCCCCCGCACCGCCCTGCCCCCAGCCTGCCCGTGCCCCCCCCCCCCCGGGGCTCCCCCCCCCCCCCCCCCGCCCCTCCGGCAGCCTGCAGCGCCGGTAACGGGGCTGGCAGCAGCACCCAGCACCGGGGCGGGGGGGGGGGGGGGGGGGGGGGCGGGTTAGGGGGCGATGGGGGGGGAGCAAGGTGGGGGGAGGGGGGGGTATTAACTTGTTTACCTACTTGGAAGTAAACTTCGATGGACGGGAGCGACCGGCCCCTCCGCCCGCTGCTGATTCAAGCCCTGGCGATGAATGGGATCCCCTCCCCCACCCGGGCTCTGCAAACTCCACACTTGAGCGTGAATACCTCGCATTTTTCCCCCCCGCGAGCACTTCTCCTTTTATTTTCTTTTTTTTTTTTTTTTTTTTTTTTGAAAGATACAAAATACATTAAAATACTACCTCAGAAGTAGAAAGCCGCTCCAAAAACTGCGCCACCCCCCCCACCACCCCCCCAGCCCCGGGGGTCGGTCTGCCCGGGGGCAGCTGAGAGCACACTCGACACCGACACGGCAGCCCCACACACATCGCCTCGGCCCAGCGCTCCCGGAAAAAAAAAATAATAATAATAAAACCCAAACAGCCCCCAAAACGCCCGTGTTCAACAAACTTCGTCATAACAGATAACGACTGAGCGACCCGACACCCCCCCCCCCCCCCGCCCCGGGCGGGTCAGACCCGCCGAGCCAGGGCGGGCGGCCGAGGGGACGTGGGGGGCGGCGGGGCCCGGCCCCAGGCTCGGCTCGGCTCGGGGGGCTGCGCCGGGGAAGGACGATTTGTCACCTCGCGTAAGAGCAGGGGGGGAAAAAAAAAAAAAAATGGGAAGGGAGAAAAAAAAAAAAAAAAAAAAGGGTCCCCAGGATGAATAATCCGCCTCGGAAACTCACCTCGCTCAGCGGGCGTTAAAGGCACAGCTCCCGCTCCCGCGGGCGGCGGGGGAAAGCCTCAACTTCTGCGGGCGGCGCTGGCGGAGACTTTCCCTCACTTGCCGCGCATGGTGCAACTCCTCTTCCCCCGGGGTCCCGGCCAGCCTGCGAGGAGACTGTAAATCCCCCCTCGCCGCCGCCGCCGCCGCCGCCGCCGCCGCACACGCCTCCTCCTCCCCCTCCGCGCGCACAGGCGGCACAAGGAAGTCCCGGAGAGTGGGAAGGGGAAAACGGAAAGTTTTGGGGCGGAATGGCGGTCAGGAGGTGCTGCCGCTCGGCGCGGCTGCTCCGCCGGGGGGGGGGGGGGGGGGGTGGGGGGGTTAGGGGGGGGTGGTTGGCGGGGCCGGTGCGGGCGCTCGGCGGCGGCGGGAGCGGCGCTGAGGGGAACCGGCCGCGCCCGGGGCCCGCCGCCGCCGCCGCCGCCGCCGGGCGGGAGGGAGGGAGGGGAGGGCGGGCGGGGTTGTGGAGGGGGGGGGGGGGGGCACCGGGGGGCGAGCGGCGGAGCCCGGCGGGCTGAAGGGGAGCCGGGCTTGGGGGCGAACCTGCCGCGCCCTGGCCCCGTCCTCCCCCCTCCGCCCGGGTCCTGCGCACCCACGCAGGGACACACAACTTCAGGCGCCGGCGGGTGTCCCCCCGCGCCGCCAACGCCCCTTGGGGTGCCCTCGGGTAACTCCTGCCGCCCGCTGCCACGCGTTATTTTCAGTATTGTTGTGCTTTGGCACCCCACGCCCCCCCCCCCAACCCACCCCACCCCCGACCGGTAACAGAAACCCAGTGACAAACCCAGCACGCACGCCGCCTCCCCCAACCTTCCCCCCCCCCCCCATCCCCCTCCTCCCACGCACACAGAGGACAACCCCCACCCGCCCCCGCCCCGCCGAGCGGCTCGGCGTTAACCTTGTGCGAGCCCGGCGGCGAGGCGCGGAGCCGCCCCGCGCGGCCGGGGACACGCGTTTGCCCACGGCCGCCCTCCCCCACGCACGTACCGCGCCCGCAGGCGCCCGCCGGTTGGCGGCGGCGATTGCCATCGCTACGATGACTGTGGCCGAGCCGCGGGCGGAGGCGACCCCCCACACACACACCCCACGCAAGACCCACGAGGAGAACGCGCCTCGGCGTTAATCGTGAAGCTATAGTGGCGTCGTGCTTTGCACACCGAAGCGGGCGGGCGGCCGGGGTGCGGTGGCCCACGCTCCGCTCCGCGGGACGGCCGGGGCAGCCCGAAGGGGTGCTCTCCCTCCCCCCCACGCACCCCACGACCACCACGCCCCCCCCCCCGCGGCGGGACGCGGGCAGCACCCCCGGGCGCGGGGGTGGGGGGAAGGCGGGCTGACGCGGCCTCCATAGCTGTGAATCAGCAGAAACGGGGTTTCTCGCTTCCCGGTGGAAACGCCACGCGCGGCGGCACACGCGCCGCTGCTCTTTCGCCTCCAGCCCGCCCGTCCCGTGTCCTCGTGTCCCCGACACGGGTGGCGGCACCGCCGCGCGCGGCCCCGCGCTGGACGGATGATGCAACGCGGCCCGTTTCCATGTGCTTCCCCTCCCCCGCCCCGGCCTCGGCGGGCGCCGCGCTCCTCGGTTGGGTTTTTTGGGGGGGGGTTGTTTTTTTGTGTTTTTGTGTTTTGTTTTTTTTTTTTTCCTTTGGTGTGTGTGTGTTTTTCTTTTTTTTTTTTTTTTTTTTTTTTTTTTTTTTTTTTTTTCCGCCTGGAAGGTCACCCGGCGGCTGATTGATTCTCCTTTCGCCCTGCTCAGTCATTCGGGCTCGGAAAGTAAATAACAAGTTGACATCATTACCGCGCGCTCCGCAGTGCCCCGCCGCGCCGCTACCGCGCGGCGACGAGTAGCTGCGCACGCCAAACCGCCGCCGCGCGCCGGGCACCCCCACCCCACGCCCCCCGCGGATCGCACCCCCCACCCCACGGCCGGAGCGGGGCCCGGCCCGGCGCAGGGGGGTCGCCGCGCTTTTTTTTTTTTTTTTGGTGGTCGTAGCCCCGCCACCCTCCCCTCCCCCTCCCCCCCCCCCCCCCCCCCCCATGGCCAATGTCGTGCAAATAATAAGATTGTGTGGATGTCGCCTGGGTGTCCGCCTCGGTGGGCTCGTCCTGGTGACAGCAAGACTCACTCGGCCTCTAAACTCATATTTATTGCTGGATTTTTCCACATGACCTTTCCACTTTTTTTTTTTTTTTGGTGTCTTCTTTTCACATTAAAGGGAATTTCATGCTTGTTTTACATTTACCCCAAAGCCTACGTGTTTGCTGTCACTGAGAGCTCTTTGCGGAAGAACGTGATGTCACCCACGGCAGCACAACAAAGATCGCTGGCTACGCGGGTCCGTGGATGTGTGGAAAGGAGAACTCCCGAAACACGGCGGGGACACGTTCCCCGGGCTAAAGCGATTCATCGTCGTGTTGGGAGCTTGGAGATGGCAGCACGAGGCCGTCAGCGCTCAGACAGGCCTACAGGCAGTTGCCTCACGTTCTAAATAAGCTCCCATTCGACTTTTTTTTTTTTTTTTTTTTTTCCAAAAGTAAAACCTGCGTTAGGTTTTTATTGGTTAAAAACGTAAACGGACGAAGCCCCCTCCAGATCTATAGTGAGATGGCGTTGAATTTTCCATTTGCGTGCTCTTCGTTTGTTTGCGCTTCTTTTTCAAAGTCCTGCTGGCTCGCGAGTGAGGGAAGCTCCTCAGGACAGGGTCCCAAGGCAGGACTTGCGCAGCCTTTGAGGCCTGGCCGCCCAGCTCCCGCTCCCCCCGCGGAGCCGGGGTTAGGCCCGGTCCTTGCAGCTCGGCCTGGCCTAGGCCGGCTCAGCACCGCCGGGCGCTCAGAACACATGAGAAAGATTTGAGTTTTTTTTTTCAATTAATATTAAACAAACAAACAAACAAACAACACAACTACAAAGTGATTGTAGAGTAGAAGATAGAAGAGTGAATCGCTGCTCTGGCCGCTACAGTAATTTTCACCTTTGTGTAACAGAAGACCCCAAAGCAACCGTGTATAAAAGAAATCCCCGGGTTTTTAAGAGTCTTATTTTTTCTGTTTCATAACCCGTGATGCAGGGACGGTGATCAGCGGCAGCGCTGCAGGCCTGCAGCTCCAAACGAGGGAAGCCAGAGCTGTGGTTTCTTACCCTCATTAAAATGGAAACCCAAACCTGAAACAATCAAAGTCAAGGGCTAGCAGAGTTGGCCTACTGTGGAGATAATGGGATCACAAGACAAAATATTTTGCATCTTAAAAGATGAAAGCTATTGTTATTTTTCTAGTGCTTCATCATTGTGTATTGTGTTGATAACTGTTTCTATGTTTCCCCCACACACCATGTTCTTCTGTTCTCTGACCATGCAGATAAAAGTCAGTTCTCTTGAATAAATGAATCATTGAAAAATAAATAATTGGTTCTACTTTTATGCAGCTGTAGTTAAATAATTCTCCTCTTAAGAAAAGTCTGAAATACGGATTAATTATTTACTCCTGTTATGAACCGCAAAAAAATGTGGATCTGCTAATTTGCTAATGAAGTTTTAATATACAAAATTTTGATACGGTAGTGAAAACTGAACTGGTGTTTTAACTTGAATAGATACCTCAAGACTATTTGGATACAGGTGCAGTATGCAATACATAGATGTTCTATAAACTGAAATGTGACACGGTAGGCACTAGTTCTGCAACACTTAGAAATATGTTAAACAGAAATGCCTAGCGATCCTATCATGAATTGTCCCACCAGACAATTCATGGTGGGAAGGTAAAGACATTTAGCACATTATTATTATTATCATCATCATCATCATCATCATTGTTATTTTATTTTATTATTTTATTTTTATTTAGCAGGCTTTGATTTCTATTTTGTGAGCATCTTTACAGTATTTGGTATTTTTCAGATAAATGTTCTCATAGAGTCACTCATGTGAGCAGCTTCTTCGCATCATCAAAAAATGGTTTCTCATTTTGCCACTTGTTAATACCAAGACTTTCAATTTTAAAAGGAAATTCTGATTAACTAAGATACTTTCAGGAATTGAGACCATCACTGCTACTTTTTTCCTTCACATATTACTTTGTTGATATCTTTGGACGAGCCTGAAAGCTTTTGCCTAATTCACGAACACTTGTTCAAGCAAACCTCTTGAATAAAACAACGTTATAAAAAATCAAAAAGCCAAGTGGGAGGCCTTGTTTCAAAGTTTTTGGAAAGCAAAACTGTAAAAAATGTTTTGATTTTGCAAAGCAAGCACGGTCTGATCCTTTTTCTATGCTCTCTACCCTCTTTCTCTCCATAGTTTGCTTCATGTGGCTTGTAATACCTGCACTTTCTAGTGATATTTTTTCATCCACCTTTCTGAGATGTGAAGCTCTAGATTCCCTGGGCTCTAACAGGAATTCAATCTAATCTAAACAGAATCTAATAGATTCTGATAAGAATTTTGATGCTATTAAGCTGTTGCAGAGGTTGCAAACCAGGATGTGCTATTCCTAGTTTCTTGCCTGTGCCGTTATACAATCAATGCACATCTTCCACTGCTCAGGGACACTGAGTATTAGGTAAGCATTATGCCGAGTGTATTTTTGCTTCTTTATATAAGATGATAAGAATGTATTCAGTGATTCTTCCGAAGTGCAGTTGCAAAAATCCAAGTAAGTTAGGGCAGCACTCCTATACTTTACTATACGGAAGATATTGTTTAGTATGTGGAAAAAATGTAATTGTTATTACTTAAGGTAAAATAAATCAGAAACTTTGATGTATGTAATCTACACTCCTCTGATCTATTTAGTGGGCTGACACGAAGGGCTGAGCTAGCTATATGGGTCCCTTAGGATCCTTAGATGGAACAGAGATTTTTTATGTTGCTCTAATTTACTCTTAGAGACAGTTTGGCCTCCTGCCAGTCTGGGGTAGAAAGAAGAGGGAGGTGATCATCTCTCTCCTTGTCTTTCCTCATCCGTGCAGTGTTGCATGGTCCCAGCTGTGCTGAATTAATGCCTGGGACACCTTATAATTTCAAGCCTTTTTTCCTCCCCTGAAAGATTTTAGACGAGAAAGTAGTTCTACCTAGGAGCTGGCTGCAGAGAGCGAAACACCTAGAGAATTAACAGGATCAGATCTCCTGCGGAGAAGCCAGACTTAGGCAGATTGTGCTAAGGATCTGAGGGATGTCAACCATGTATCATCTCCCCTAGTTGCTCAGTGGTTCTGGAGATATATGAGTCCTGGGCATCGTGATGGTGCTGTCAGATGTCTCCCCTTGTCCTGTGAGCATAATCTTACCCTCCGAGGCCAGCAGCAGGAGCTAGCCCTGCTACCATACTTCTCAAAGTGGCCAAAGCGTGGTGGGAACCGGGAGCCTACCCCTGGAGAAGAGCTACTCTTCCTGAAGAGTTGTTTTTTATACAGATTATAGAAAGACCCCACTGGGGACTTTATCAGGAAAACCTCAAGGAGAGCCCAGTCCCCCTCATGAGGAGTGCACATGCAGAAGAGCAAGGAAGCAAGGGTTTCATGGAACAAGACACGTCTATGTCTAGATAAGCAAGCAGCTCGGCACAGGTGGGTAGGATGAAACAGTGGTTTCCAAACCAATCCAAACAGGCCCAAACATCTGCGTTGCACCAACATCAGCCTCCAGATGCCTCTCGGGGTTGGGGGTGTCTAGCCCCAGACTGGTCCCGCAGACTGCCTGGCAGCGGTCGGCTGGAGCACCTCGACACACTCCCGAGGTGCACTGGTTGGGTTAGTCTCACCCATAGGAAAACCAGTTCTCATGCTCCAAAACTGCTCCGCTCTGCGTAGCAAAGCACAGCATGGGGGAAGAGTCAGGAGAGCAATTTCAGAAGTGCACTCCTGATTTAGACCAAGAGCGGTGTGGATGCAGTCTGCGATAGTTCCCTGTTTCTATTGACATTGCATTGTATAATACTTTGCACTTTAAAAGGTTCCCCTTAATTCAGTGGGATTACTCGGGATTTAAAGCATGATTCACTGTTGCAAAAAGTAAGACATATGGATCACTTCCCTTGCCAAATGCGAAATTTTTGGTTCAAGAATTCTAAAATGTCTTTTCTTTACACAATCTCTATGGCTACTGAAGCACACAAGGTATGCTGCATCATTTCTAGATGCAAGCTGCCATTTTTGGGAACAATGAGTAGAGCAGTGAAGGATTCTGAAGAAACTCGTGTACGTGATGCTAATGCTGGCAGAAAACTAACCTGACTGGGAGCACCTTGTGTGGTGCCGCAGCCAAAGTAGCTGCAGGGATTACTGGGTGCACAGGAAGGGACATGTAAGGAAGGAGAACAGAGGTTAGACCATCTCTCTGATTGGCACGGGTGGTGTGACTACTACTAAAGTAGTCCCATTCAGTTATCTTCACTTCAAGAAGGGTGATGATAAATTGGAAGGACTACAGACAAAAGTACTGATAATAATGAAAGGATTGGAAAATGGCTTATTTTTAAAGATAGCAGTTTGTTTAACTTAGCGGTGAAGTAACTCAACCCTCTAGAAGAAGCAATGCGTGGGAAAAGATCTAGCAGAGGACTCTTCAATCTATCACACAAGCCTAGAGAGATCTACAGCTTGAAGTTACAAAGTGGCAGGTTTTTCGGAGGGAGAAAATTAACCAGTGAAACAGCTGGTGTGGATATTCTCTAACTGGAATCTTAAATCAAGCAGGGCCACTGGGTCTCAAAAGGCATCAAGAAGCCCAAAGGCCCACAATATGATCATACATGCTCAGGGTAAACTACTGCAATGGTGCTTTCTAGCCTTCAAATCTACAAATACAGATTTCTGAGAAGTGGTGGTTTTGGGAAGCCAAAAGTCTGCTTGTCTAACAATTTACCAATTGGCGTATTTAATACAAATTTCCATTAAAACTCACTATCTTGACAACAGAGAAGTTTTACTTTGCCTTCCCAATTTGCACACACATTATTTCTACAGGTGTGTGCAACATGATTGTCTTTCTATTTTTTAAGAGGAATAGTTTTTTATAAAACAAACATTTGCTCTGAAATTTTTGGTTGGTTTGTGTTTTGTTTTTTTTTTTTGTATTTCAAAAGGACCTTATCCAAGAAAGAGAAGAAACAAAGAAAATGTAATATTCAAACCCTTTGCTTTAGCAGTAAACCAAAGTACTACAAGGGTAATGAGTCAAACCTGCTTTTCAGACTTAATTTTCATGCGGTTGTAGTTGACTTCATTTGTTTTACAGCCTGTATTCACAGCATACAGTGCTCTATGTGGACATGAATAAAAATGCATGAGAGGAGGAAGAAACTCAGCTAATTTTTTATGTTTAAATTTAAAATATAGTACTGCTAAATGCTTAAAATACAGTATTATGATATTAAAAATGCAGTAAAATATACTTAAAAATTCAAAATATACTTCCTAATTCCACACTTTGGCCAGCTGTATTTAAAAACTGGGTATTGAAATGAAGACATTCAGATACCAAATCTATATTTAGTCCTTGTCTTTTTCTCCTTGAAATCAACAGTGGTTTTGCCACTACTTCAATGGGAGTATAATAAGGCCCTTCATTTTCAATACCTTATAACTACTGGAAAAACAGGGAATATAATAGGGATGAATGCATCTCTAATAAGTAATAATTTTTTGTACTATTGCAGTTCCTAAATAACACAATAAGTCATTTGATAGGCTGAGCAGTGATGGAGAACAGGTTCAATTATTCAGTATAAATCTTCATTACAACCAAAATGATTCCTCCCTCCCTCCCTCCCTCCCTCCCTCCCTCCCTCCCTCCCTCCCTCCCTCCCTTCCTCCCTTCCTCCCTCCCTCCCTTCCTCCCTTCCTCCCTTCCTTCCTCCCTTCCTTCCTCCCTTCCTTCTTCCCTTCCTTTCCTCCTTTCCTTCCTTCCTTCCTTTTTCCCTCCCTCCACTTCCCAAGGTAAAAGCTCGGGCCCCAGGTGGCCCACGGTTGCTGCAGCCCCACACCACTCATGCGACAGTTCCTCCTTTCCATTGAGTCCTACAGTGCCAATTGTCCTCTCACTGATTTCAGCGTTTCTTTTACTGTTGATATTAGAAACACAAGTCAGGAGAGATAATAGGTGTGAGGCAGCTCCTGTGTGCCCCTTAGCCACCTCCCTTGAGTATCTTCCTAATGTGGCTAAGTTTAACTACACATTTTGAGACTTCCAAAATCAGAATTGACAGATTGGGCTTCAAACTATAGCTTCCTCTGCATCGTGTCATGGTAAATTTGTGACTGGCAGTATTTTCACAAGCTGCAGTTGCTTATGATTCCTCTGTGTAATTGGCCTTGTGTAGGCTGCTGGCTTTTTTCTTTTTTTCTTGAAAAAGAAGGGAAATATTAAGAGGACATAGCAGATTATATTTTTTGTGTTCTCTG